CTAAGCCTCAGTTTTTCACCTTAAAATGTGAATGAATGTAATACTCCCCTAAGAAAGTGAACATGATGACCACATGAGATAATCTATGTAAAATCTCTGTACAGATATTATGGTTTCTTTAGATTTCCTTTTCTCTTTCTCTCTTCCTCCCTCTTTCTGTGTTTCCCTTTCTTCTTTTGAAGAAGATCTCTACTAGAAGGAATGAATAGAAATGTGGAAATCATTGGGATCCAGAAGGTGCAGTTGCCTCAATTTATACTTGAACACACACAATACTAGGCTTATTTCACTGCTGGACCAGTCTTCTAGGCACTGGCTAGTCCTTTGCTTGGCTCCTTTGTTTGGCTCTTCTTCCTCTTCCTCACCTATCCTTCTTTCTTCCCATCTTGTCTTGTTTCCCTGTACAGTCAAATTTCTGGTCAAAGCTTTCCAGTTACTTCTTCAAAATACATTCCCTGATCCTCTAGACTTGGATTTTCCTGTTGCAAACTACCATCTCACTTTATATTTCCTTGTTAGGACACTCATGGAAGTTTATTGTAATTATTATTTTTTATCTGGTGTCTTCCTGCCAGAATATGGGAAAGGATCTACTCAGGGACCATGGCTGTCTTTTTCTTAGTAGCACCAGCATAATGCTTAGCAGATACTAGGTATTCAAGTATTGATTAATGAACAAAAACCTAGAAAATTAACAAATAAGCAAGCACATTATATACAGAGATGATTCTGTAGTTGGGGGAACAGTGTTGGCTAACAGTCACTAGTAGAGCAGAAATAAGCTACTCAAAATAACATCAACATATAGAGGAAGTGGCATTTAAAAATGCAAAGAAAAAATACGAATATAAAATGCAGAATACAAATTGGCATCACAGTAATAGGACAAAATGCTTCTAGATGCCTATTTTCCTGGACTTTTCTCTGCCAACGACTCATATATCTGTTTCTTCCCTTAAGACCCAGTTTAAAACTATCCTTATTTTTAATGAAGGCCTTATCTCAATATGCTGCTGTCTCACTGGTATTTAATCATCATATCCTTCCAGGTAGCATAAAAATAATTTCATCTTTGTTTTGCAGTTAATCATTTGTTGCTTTGCCATTTTCTCTAGTTCTATACACTTTATTTTTAACCCAACTATATTGAAAGGTTCTTTAGAATCAAACTAAGGTTTCTACTTATTTTATTTTCTTACATTTCCTTATCAAAAGCTGCCTAGCACAGCAATACACTGTGTCATACTTATGTGTTTGTTATCTGTTTTCCTGCCTAAACTGAGCTTCCCTTCCATGGAGGGATTTTATCTTGTAAGGATGTGACTAGGCACAGAATAAAAAACATTTATTGATGTGAAAGATAATGTGACTCAATAAGCAACATTGTGCTGCATCAAAAATAAAAGTAAGAAGCCAAACACAAATAGTAAAAAGTGTCTTGCACAGACCTGTGAAGATGTATTCTCCTTTATGACTATAATTTCTTCTTTGTTTTATGAGATACAGTGTCCTCACATTTGGGAGATACATTTAAGAAATAAACATTTTGTCCTGTTTTTTGACTTAAAAAACTACCAATGTGTTTTTTTTTCTGGATTGTTGATAGTGTGAAATTGAATTTATATAATTTTTAAACATTACACCGTGATATGATTTGATACTATTTTCTATTTCATAGAATGACAATCAACATTAAAAATTTCTCTTTAATGACATATTTTTCATCCTCTATGACTTTCTTTTCAATATAGAGGAATGATGACATAAATATAATATATATTTAAAATATGTTAATTTCTCAGCTGAATATGAAAATATTAATTTTTAAAGATTATTTTCTCAGTTAAGTAATATTTTCTTGAAAATTTAATTAGTGATCCAAGCTGAAGCAAAAATAAGTACAAGTTTAAGAACTTTTTTCTGTGCCACTCTCACATTATTAGTATGTACAAAGTAGAGATACTTTAAAAATATATATTGTTTCTCTAATAATTTTCTTATTTTCAAGTCACTTAGTCAAATACTTGGGTCATGATTTTGTATTTTCTGCTGTATTTTCTCCTGAAGCCATCTGGGTACAATTTATTCAATGAGCAACTCTTTTTATTTGGACCTGACAATTTGCAAACCCATTTTTATAATATGTGTTCACATTTACACTTCTCTCAAGTCTTAACATTGCTTATCTACATATGTTCTTAGAAATAAGCTAAGGTTTGTTTCAATAGTTAGTTTCAATAGCACTTATCATGACTTAAGAAAGAAAGGAATTAACATTCCTTAAAAACTATTCTGCATGATGTAAACCCTAGATACACTGTCTTATATCTTATGTATCATTCTCATTTTTCCTATGTAAATGTATTATTATGCTTTTTCAGATGAGGAAACTGAGCAGAGAGATAAATAGCTTATGACAAAATTACGCAAGTGAGGGATCAGGATTTGAACCCAGGTCAAGATAGCTCCAAACTTTAGTTTTTCTGCTACATCATACTAACACCCTATTAATTTGGGAACCAGAGAGAAGGTAACACTTTAAAGGAGAAGACATAAAATCTCATTCTTGATTTAATTTTCCACTTGTGCAAATCATATTTTCCATCTGTCTCAAATATGTCACCGAGTCTTGTCAAGTCTACCTACCCAATATATCTAGAATACTTCCCATCATTTCTTTATCTCTACTGCTGCCTACCTATCCAACCTCATCTCCAACTCCTCTACTCACATTAGCAATATCAAAATGCCTGCAATTTCTGGAAAATGCTAGGGAGCTTTACACATTGATGCTCTCAGTGCTGAAACAGTATTTCTTCATTCGTTCTTTTCATAAAATATGACTCATTTTTCCTGTGTGAACCACATTGCAAATCTAACTTTAACTCTCCAGGTAGATTCAATTACTCTTTCCTATCGTGCTAATAATGAACTTTAAATGAAGTTTTATTATTATATCACCTATTGTGTATTTTACTCGTTTTATTACATGTCAGTCTCTCTCTTCTTTTACTCTGTAACTTCACTGTGGGAACAGATACTCAAAAAATCAGTTTTATGAATAAACATACTAATAGTATCACTATATTTAACACATAACTGATGAACTATAGAGAAATACCTTGAAGATTGCAATTGGTATAATATATAACAAGCAAACTCCCTTTAATAATTTGAATAGGAAACAACTAATAATAACTGATAGGAAACAGAATAAGTATTTCATATATATGTGTGTGTGTGTGTATATATATCAACATAGGGTATATATATTTACACTTGCATATTTTCAATTAATTTGGTAATATAGCATTTTTAGAGATACTTCAAGGAAAGACTATAATTTATTACTTGAAAAGCAGCCATCAATTTAATTATATTTTGTTTTGTCAAAATTAATTAGATGGACAATCTATAAAAAGCTGTGAAGTTTTATATCCCAAAATAATAGCTATACTATTTAGTTAAATTATTACAATATAAATTAATTTTGGAAGAAAAGGTTAGGAAAATAAATAAAACTATTTTGTCAAAATTGATGGTTTATGATATATTACAACCTTAAATTCAGCTATAATTGAAAGATGACATTTTGTGTTAGAAGATCTTTCACACACAACGTTTCAAAATATTATCCTAAAGCAACTACTGTTAATTAGATGAATTCATAACATAGGAAAAAAATATGTCTTTCAGACCAATATAACAATAAGTAGGATATCTTTAGGGTTAATTTCAAAGCAAAATGACACATCAATCAACCTGAAAAATCTTACATGCAACATTTTCAGTTTTCCAGCATTATTGATTGATTCTTAGATGATGACTTGGATATAAATGTTGAAATAGCTCCACAGGAGTTAAAGTTCTTTTTCCACCCTCATGAATTCCAGGCCATGTTTCAATGGTTCACGTGACTGTTAGTGTTATACTAGACTAATATATGCTGCAGTAATTAATATCTACCTAAAACTTGAACTACTAGTAATATGGTAACTAACTTCATCTCATATTTTCTGAAAGTGTTTGCATTGCATCGAGTCTATCTTTTTTTCCTGTGAGTACAACCATCCTCTCTTACCATGAATCCTCATTTTGGATCAGAATATCTAGTAACTGTCACTTATACAGATATCAACATTTCACCTCTGTAGGAAAGATGACTAGTAATAGTAGTTTGTTTGGTACTAGTAGTTTAATGGAGCTTCCTGTCTGTAGGTTACTTATACATTAACACTCTTTGTTTATGTAATATATTCAGCAAGAAATCCAAAGCAGTTTAGAAATGTCAATTGCTTAAATTTTACAGTTAAAATTTTAAAAGGATTTGAAAATGATTATGGTTTTGGCTCTGGAAATTAAATCAACTGTAAATGAGATATTCCACACATAAAACTCTTTTGGGGGCTATTATCAGAGTCATTGCCGGTTTCTCCCCAAGGCTCTTTCTAGTTTCCTGATCTTTAAGCAGCACAGGTGAGTCCTGATCACTTGATACAGAGCCTTACATCTTTGGCTCAATTTTATCATCAAAGAAATAAAGGCAAGCAACACATCATTTTGTTTCAATTAATCCACACACATTAATTTGTTTTTACATATTCAAGAATGCTATCCATGTTGACTTTGTCTAATTCCTAGTTTAGCAAAAGAAAAACAAGAAACTACATTGGAAATTCAACAGCATTTTGAAGTAGGATTTATATTGGGTTGACTTTAGCGCTGTTTGAGATATTAGACATTATTTTTCAAGGGCCTGAGTATTGTTCCAAAGAGACAGAAATATTAGTCATACCTAGCCCATAATAAGTGTTGAAAAATACTTACTGAATCAACGAAAAAAAGAATCATCTTAAGGAACTTCTCTTGGAAGCTACTGACATTTTCTATTTAAACACATAGCGAGAAGTTGGTTATCTTTTAGATGGATTTAAGGTCTTCTAATTGGGAGCAGATCTGTTATGGGACGACTCTTCACTGTTTTGAAGTAGTTCACTCACCTCTTTAGGTGCATCAGCTTCAATGAATTCAGAATAAATCATCCTGGCTTTGGAAGCAATTTTTTCTGCATTTTTCGTTTTCTTAAAGTCTTCACAGGCAAGCCAGAACTCAACATTTTCTTCACTAAACTCTGATTTTAGAAATGTTCGAAAAGCATCTAGACCAGCTATGAAATATATGAGAAAGAGTTTTGTATAATAGCATACAGAGTAGTGATATGACCAAAATGAGTACATTGTATAGTGTGAGCATTTACTGGGTATTCAGTGGCAAATATTGATCATTCCACCTAAATGTAAATGTATGTTTTAGTTGCTAACTTTAGAAAACTTTATTTTAGATCAGTAATTGTTAACATATATCTACACACAAAACGTATGTATATATGTATATCTATTTCTACAATTAGCTTCATTAACAAAGAAAACCTGTACTTTTTTTCTTTCTGTATTTGAGAAATCTAGAAGTTATGTTTAGGAGATCTTGATGGTAGTTACTTCACAGGAAGCCCCACGGATTTTGCTTTTAAGATTTATTGCACTAAGCTCAGGTCATATTAATGATGTTATACTAAATTCAGGGTAAAAATATCTTTGTTGCTATGAGTTGGTGCAGAAACAAAATATGATGCTAAAGTGTTAAATTGTATTGGTTTGGGCTTAAAGCAAAGGAGGAAGCGCTAGCTTTTATTAGTTTTGGGTAAATATATAGGCCAACTCAGTCTCAAAACCAAGCAAGTAACTGGCAACATATTTGATGTGAATGCTTCTCCCCTTTATGTGGCAACAAGCAACTTTAATTCCATAAGGTAAATACAAATACGTAGGGTTTTTCTCCAATGTTGCTTTAAGCAAAACATTGGTGCCTCCCATTCTCCCTTGTGGTACCTGTTTATGGTATTCCTCCTCCTCCCAGGTATTATCCTTAGCATGTACTTCTCCAGAAACTTTAGATCAGGAACTGCAAATGGACTCACTTATTCACAGGCGTGTTTACTTTGGCTTGATTATGATATGCTTTTTTAAATGCAATGAACAACAGGCAGGGCTTTCAGTCTGTGATTTCCATGAGTCTCACCTCTTCCCCTTATCTTACTTTCAGTCAAATTTACACTTATATCCCTTACTCCTAAAGATATTTGATATTGTGACCACTTGTTTAGACCCTTCCTTCTCTATTTTCCTCATCAAAATGGGCCAGGAAACATTCTTCTTTGGTATACCCAGAGCTTATGTGAGAAGGTAAGTGCCTCTGGTTAGACAACAGGTCAGAAAGATCATTGTCATATTCCCACTGTGGACAAAACTAAACCAATACATTTAGGTCATGTTATTCAGTGTCACAGTTTGTACCCTTTTTCTGGCTGTCTCTATTTTGAGAATGTATCTCTCTCTGAGGAGTAAAACATGTCAGCACTTTTGCCACTCAGAGAAATTTGCCTTCCAAAACGTTGGTGGTTTACTCCTCCACCTGCCAGGGAGGCCCCCTTTGCATGTGCTCCAAGCAGCTGCTCCTTTCCTGCAGGTGGAGAGAGTTAATCCTTCAAGTTCCAAAGTACAGGAGGAATAAGTTTATGGAAAAGCAGGGGATAGGCCAAATTGGCTACAGAAATAGAAAACAATGAGAAAAGTGAATGAAAAGAGGCTTAAGTTCGTTGTTCATGGGTTGCTGCCTGCAGAATGTAAAAGTGAAGTTTATAAAGATAAAATAGAAAAGGACTTTCTGGAGCAGAATTAAAGTGTCTAAAAACACTGTATTAAAATAGATTTAACGGATTTTTTTTAAAGTTATTTGAAATAAGTTTGAAATAACAAGTCATTGCAAAAGGTTATCAGGTACCAATTAAAATTCTTGGTTGAAATACTGGAGAGTGTGGATGCAGTTAATATATGAGCACTATATAAAAATTCAATTAACTTCACGTTCCTTGCATTTAAAAATACATTCAAGAAGTTTCTGTGACATCAATTTAGGTTATAAAAATCCTCTTAGTAACACTCAATTAAAATTTTTCTTGAATTCAGTTCAAACAATGATGAAATTTCAGAGATCTAAACAGAATTTATGCTAAGATGTGGTTTTGTATAGAGAATAAAGTGTTCTTTAATAATACAGAAAGAAAGAATATTGTAGATTCATGCCTGGCAATATTTTATATGTGCATCATCAAGGCATATGGAGCTTCTCCCTAGGAGGATTTTCTAAATGCATCCCAGAGAGATGGGATGTTAGAGATCAAGATACAATTATTATTTTCCCCTGTTCTCCACTTTTAACGACGGGCTACTCTCAACTAAAAATTAATATCTTTCCTCTTCCCATAGCTTGATTCAGGACCCAATGGAACAAAATAAACAACTTAAACAACTAAACCTGGGGCTAGTTATCTCTGTCTTGAACATATTTTGTTGATTTACTCTCCTATACATACAGTTTGAATGTTCAAAAGATGCCAAATGATTTTAAAGTAATATGCTACATAAAATTAAACTTACTATCTGAGGGCACTCTCCACAGAATGGAAGCTTACTGGCTAGTATCAACAAAGGGTGTTAAATGGAATATGTCAGCATTATGGGGTGAAAACTAGGCTAATGCCTATGCTTAGTACATGCAAAGTATGTCCGCAAATCAACAAAAACAATTAGGTAATTTGGTAAGTCCTTTAGCTGTTTAAAGCATTAAAAAGCATTCATACTTTGCCATTTCTCTGGTGTTATAAAAAGCAAAAACCAAACCACTGTTCAGATGCATATATGACTTTTCCATTTCATGTGGGAATGAAATACAAAATTGCAGAAGATATGCAGAGGAACGAGTTTGCCTTCATCTCACCCTTCCTGCCTCTCCTCTATAGTATTGTTGTATGGACTTCCACTACTCTGAAGCTGTCTGGGTCACAACACGCAGAGATGATTCAGTAAGCCCTTTAGCAAACTTGATCTGTCCCGTTAGTTATACACTTAAGGAGAAAGAAAATACACCATTTAACACTTAATAAACTGCAGTTCCACAATCTCATCTCTTCAATATACGCTCTTAGGTGGATTCTGGAAGTTCTGTTGATTCTTTGATGTTTATACTTTAAAAATTAGTCACTTAGGAATAATATGTTTATAGTATCTAAATTCATCTAAATCAATCTAACTTTATACATAAATAAGCAGCAGTGAAGAATTTATTCAGGTCTATTGTGTTTTATATTTTTCTAATATTCTAATTTTTATTCTTCATGAATTTAAAATAAAATGCCATTTGATTTATACAAATAATACTATATTATAAACATTTTCTCTTTATGTTTCACAGTGCCATTTTTCCCCTTTCAGATGAGATAGAACTGCAGATTATTTGCAACACAAGCAGAAGTTATACCTTTGTAAATGATTATTTCGTATATAAGTTGTGTTGACTAAGATGTCTTATTAAAGACTAGGATGTTTTATTTGTAATTGGCCAAAATTATCTTACTGAACCATTCTATCAGTTATAAATATATATTCACACATATACATATTAATACAAACGTATATATTTAAATATGTTTTTATATTCACTGAAAGTGAGAATAACACAATTGATATAAAGTACTTTAAAATACCTTTTGTTTTGACCAACAGTACATATGAAACAAGTGATTTATTTAAATTTTCAACTTTTTCAACAGTTTGTATGTTTCTTTCAACTTATACCAAAGGCAGTCATGATGTACATCAAATTATAGTGAGCCAGCTGGGCGCAGTGGCTCATGCCTGTAATCCTAGCACTTTGGGAGGTCAAGGCAGGCAGATCATCTGAGGTCAGAAGTTCAAGACCAACCTAGCCAACATGGCGAAATCCCATCTCTACTAAAAATACAAATATTAGCTGGGTGTTATGGCATGCTCCTGTAGTCCTAGCTACTTGGGAGACTGAGGCAGGAGAATCCCTTGAACCCAGGAGGCGGAGATTGCAGTGAGCAGAGATCATAGCACTACACTCTACACTCCAGTCTGGGTGGTAAAGCAAGACTCTGTCTCAAAAAAAAAAAAAAAATATATATATATATATATGTGTGTGTGTGTGTGTGTGTGTGTGTGTGTGTGTATATATATGTATAGCGAGTCTAGGGCTGGCACTGTGACTCACACCTGAATTGAATCCCAGCACTTTGGGATGGCGAGGTGGATGGATCACCTGAGGCCAGGAGTTTGATACCAGCCTGGCCAACATGGTGAAACCCTGTCTCTACTAAAAACAGAAAAATTAACCGAGTATGATGGTGCATATCTGTAATCTGAGCTACTCAGTAGGCTGAAACAGGACAATCGCTTGAACCTGGAAGGTGGAGTTTGCAGTGAGCTGAGATCATGCCACTACACTCCAGCCTGATTGACAGAGTCAGACTCTGTATTAAAATAAAATTTAAAAAAAGAAAAGTTAAAGTAAGTCTAAGGAAATGGAAAACTTCACTTGCTAGTTTGAATTTTCCTTTTGTTTTAATGTACAGAGTTCCTATAAACTTATTTTAGACCCAACTTGATTCCATTTAGATTTTGGATTTTTATGAATTTATGATCATTAAGAATTTTATACTTCATTGACTAAACTCATACTTTATGATATGTTACCAACTTTCAGAATTTAATTATTTATATTTAATTATTGTATTTTTAAGCCTATTATTAGTTAGATCTTACCTTGGTTGGCTAAAAGTGTGTCCATATTTTCAGACCATGTCATTGCTTCCGTAGTTTGTGACCTGTAGAAACAGCATCTACCCTTGACAATAGCATTGTGATCTTTCTCTTCTCTAACCAATAGTAATATCTGAGTTGTGTGTATTTTGAATTACATCATTCAAATGAACTTCATGCTGCTAATCAAATAGTCAAACATCAAAAAGTTATATAGTGCTATTTACAGTAGATAGCTATGGTGACATAAATTGGGATGTAATTGGACATCAGCAAATTATTAATCTAGCTGACAGTGTTAATAATATTTGAAAATTCTTAAATTCTAATAATGGCATAAGAGATATTGGTTCTGTGGATCAGTGGTGAATTTCTTTTCAACTATGAGTATTTTTTGTATGTATTACTTTGTATTATTTTGTATGTAGACATTACTCCAGTCAAAATTTATATTAGCAAAGGTGATGAATAAACTACTTTCTAAGTTTTTATGGTGTAAAGATTATCTATTTCATAATTATGCATCTCAAAAAAGTTCAAAAAAGTTTTAAGAATTTCTAGCATGTGATGAACTTGAAAACATTTTGTTCATAATATTTCAAAAAGTCTTTACTTACTCTGAGGCAGCCTTTATTTCTCTTTAGACTGGTATACTTCTAGTTCTGAGCTGATTTATTTAAATCTAGGAATCTGTCAAGACAGAGTAATATCTTTTCCAAAGCAGTCAAAAAATTTATAGACTTAAGTCTTCTGAAGAAGGTTACTTTTGGGGATGTGATGTGGAAATAATAAATCAGGTTTAAGATAGAAATTTTCTGAGATGCAAATATACATTATTCCTCTTAATAAATAAACAAAGATCCTGATGAAATAAGCCCCTATTCGTAGAAAGCATCTACTGCCCAGAAATAAAACCACATTGGATTACATAGCTGTGATGTGCAAATAACTTAGTTGTGGAAAGAGAGGGTCCAATTTAAAGTCTGTGTTGAAATTATCAATAATAAAATAGAGAAAAACTCATATATCGCAATTCTTATAAAACTTTTGTATTTGCATGGCAAGATGATTAATCTTAAATATACTAGTGTGAAATGATTCCTTTGCTTTTGTATTACTTCTTGTAATTTGCTGCAGTTTTTATAGTTTTTCCTCTACTGATGCAGTTGTAGTTGCATCTTCAGTTAATAATGGTCATCCTCATTGAGGACACATAGAGAGGGCAATATAGCTAAGAATTCATTTTACTATTTTCCATTACTCACATTTCCAATCTCAAATTTCCTTCTCCTGTTGTAGGCAGCTGACTTTCCTTTCTTCCTTGACTTACTAAATCTTGGGGACACAGATTACCTGTGAAACCATTTGGAAATAGTGGTTTTGTTTTTTTTCATTCAAATGGACACAAAAGTTGGGTTGTTCAGTTTCTGTCTTTCATAAATGGAGGATGAGACACAATCCTAGATTTAATTTTACATTGAAGAGATTTTGTGTACTCTATAGCCTGTTACTCAAATAAGCTTATGTTATATTTCATGTAACTCAAATATTAGATCTTGTAGGAATTCTAAAGTTATATGGTCACTTAAAATACATATGCTTAAAAAATTCCTGTTTGTATACTAAAATTTGGTTGCTAGCAGGGTATTCAAATTAAAGCTACTTATACCTGTGGAACATATGCTAATGAATAGGATAGAGAGGAGCCTGGCCATGCAGAATGCCCATTTTGAATGAGGAACAGGCATCCAGGAAAAAACAGTGAAAAATAAAATCTAGACAAATTCATTCAAAGATGAACATTTATATTCCCATTAGTATGTAAGTTATCTGACGACAGGACTAAATGTTATTTTCTAGCACCAAAAACAGTGTTTCTGGTCTATGAAATATTAAACATATTAACAAACAATAGATGACCAAACCCCATATATTGACACGTATTAAAGCCTTCAATGGAAGATGGTAAATGTCCTCCAAGATGCTGATAAATTACAATGATAAAAAGTATTGAGACGTATAGCTAAATTGTATTAGCTTCAAAGACATAGGGTGTTCTGGGCAAGAAAAGACAAAAAATAATGTGAACACATCACTGGATCATCATGGATCTCACTCTCAACTCTAAGGTATGTGAGGTTGGAGAGAATGACCGACATCCATTCTAGAAGGCAGTGTCCTTTAAGGACAGACAGGTTTTACTTAAGCCAAAAGCAAAAAGGCATATTCCATGAAGATCTTTTTGTATATAAAGGAGTATTTATAGAATGAAGGTGTTTACATAAATAATAGCTATTTGTATTGTCTTCATTAATGTAGAGAAACAGTAAAAGAAAGAAAGCAAAGTGGGGGAGATGGTGTAGAACCAAGAATAAAAGAAAAATTCCTAATGTTTTGAATTACAGAGAGATGCTAAAATGTTATAGATATTTGATAGATATAGACATGGAATACTATAGATAATAGAACTAGGGATATGGGCATATCCTAGTATTAATCAAGGTCCACAAAATGCTGACATTGTTTTAAAGAGAAGAAATTGCCCATCAGCTCTGAAGGAGTACCTCTGCTGGTATGTAACAATGCCTGGAATGCCCTCAGTTCATTCCTTCGTAGCCTATTTCTTATCCAGAAGGTTACATTTTGACTATCTGAGATGTTGAAAGAGTTGGAGGTAACACAGCATTTACTTTTCAGAAATTAGGTGAAATGTAACTATTTTAAGCAGTAATGGTTGTTTGTTGCCAGTTAAATTAGTAAAATTTGGGGTTTCTTGTAATTCTGTGGAAGAGCAAATTGATGGTATCTATGAATAAACTAAATACATTATTTATAATAGCACTAAAATGCACAACTATGTATTGGATGTTTACAATGTATACCACATGGTGCTAAGCATATCATATACTTTACTTCATTTAACCTTGAAAATAATAGTCTGTTTTACTCCAATATTACCAATGAGTAAAGAGTCTCAGAGATACAAATAAGTAGTGCAATATTCCACAGACAGTAATGGCCAGAGTTAGAATAGAAACACAAGTGTGTCTGCTTTAACCCAGATTATTTCATACTTCTTAAATGGATGAGTTAATACATATATGTTTGTACTTAATTCATGTTTTATAACATTTATAATAACTATCTGAAAAGTGATTTTTTTCTGCAATAGAGATTGATCATACTTCATAGAAATATTATATTTCCTCTAAATAATAGTTAAATTTTGGTAACTGGCTGCTCAATTGAAAGTTTACACGAAACAGAGATTCTTAAAGCTTATACACTATCAAATAAAAATAGGGCATTTCTTATGGTAGATGGGAGTAAGAAATATCATTTTCTGTTTTTAAAAACTGTAACTGTATAAATGTTAAGAAAGAAATCTATTGAATAAAAGTTGGGGAAAAAAGAGGGTGGTTGATTTTAAACTCTACTGACTTGGTTGACTTTTACTTGATATGTGCTATCTGAAAAAAATGGACAATGGCCACTCCCTCATTTCTTTTTTTCTTCCTTTTATTGAATTTTAACAGAAGTTTTGTCTGGCTCTTTTCGTTTCTGTGTATATTTACTGTAAAATTGTGATGCATAATCAGAGTAAGGTTTTGTTTGTGTATGATTTGCCATGAAAAGTCACTGTGTATCTGAAGCCAAAATTACACTTAGTATTTCATGGGGTTTTGGCTGATTTCCTTTCTATTTTCTTCATTAAGCAAGTGCCATCAAGGCCAGCAGTACCCATATTATATGTCCAGAGAAGAGCCAGGCCAGATGGGAACTGCGTGAAAGCTACCAGTTATCTTGCTAATTGTGCCAGCTAGAACCAGTTGTATTGCATTAAAAAATGTGGAATCCAACAACTTAGCTGTTCACACTCAATTAGCAGTGTGCTGGAGAATGGAAAATTCAAGCAAGGAGTCCATGTGCTCCAGGAAGTGACAGCTGCTTCCTTACCCAGCCCTTAATATCCATGTAAAAATTTTCAATAAACATTGTGATAATAATTTTTGCAAGGATCATGTATATGTTATGTCTCTAATCCATCTCATAATTTTTTAAAAAATTACATAAAGAAAGCACAATGGTCTCTCTCCACTTTATAACCTTCCTTTAGCCCACATAAAGAATAAATCGCAAAAGTAAACCACAAATTGTTGATATGTTTTCGAAAAGAAGAAATCAATAGAGAAAGGAGAAAAAATCAGGAAGAAAGACAACAATTAGTGTATATATCATAAATGAAGGAAATAAAACATCGAGACTAAAGAAGACTCAAATGTTTCATTTGTACATCTTCGGAGATAAAAATAGCTGGAAACGGCAACTCACTTCACTGGCATTTTTCGTTCCACTGTCTGTCACAGATGATGCCGAGTTTCTCTTTCTGACTGATCTTCAAGCTGAAGGTAATGTGACAGCAGGAACATTACAATTAGTATGCAAATACCTATCCCCTGGGTTACAAATTGGCATTCTTTAAATCCTGCTATTCTCAGCTTTTTTGTTTTTGTTATTAACTTTTCATTGGTCAAAGCACTTAAACTTCTAAGTCATAAATAACTCTGAATAAATGTGACATTTCTCTGAGTCTGTGGCATAATTGAAATAAATTCCATCTGAAAGTTTGTTTTCTGAAGTTCGTATTCATCTGCTTATAAGACAACTATTGTTCACAGGAGGTTAAATCAGTATATATTAAGATATACATATTTGAAATATATATATAATTAATATTCACCTTTGAGTCTTTAATCTGCCTAAAAGATCATTTTGTTTTCCTTTGTTCTTTGATTTTCAGAAAATCTGAGGAAGGCTCTACATTTAGTATACTTATCTTAACTATATATGTTTAAGCAATTTTATTCATGAACTAAAATGTTCTAATATAAGACATTGCCGTTTTCTTTGAAATTTATGCAGGTTTTATGGCTTAATAACATATATTTCTCTCTTTTAACCATGGATGTCATGTCATTTTATGCCAATATTTATGCAATGCAATGTTTAATGTAATAAGGCTAATATATTTATCAAAACAAAGACCATATATTGGCAATTTTAATTATAGTCAAAGTTTTATACCTTCATGCTTTGTCAAGCTTTTATCTCAATGTAATACAGTTCTTTGGTAGTAAAATT